GGGGGGGGGGGGGGGGGGAGAGAGAGAGGGGAAGGAAACTGAGTGTCTGAGCGTGAGAGAAATATGGTGATGCTTTTGGATTTAGCGATGCTTTTGGGGTAAAAGGGGGCGAAAATGCTTTTGGGGGAGGTTTTGACTTTATTACCCATGGATAAATAGTGGTTACCCATTTAAAATATGAATAATATGGGTAATATTCGTATTTGATCCGTTTTTAAAATGTTCATTATCCAACCCATATTTTAGCGGATAATATGGGTGGTTACTTATTTTGTTTTATCCATTTTGCCACCCCTACAAACAAACTATCCACGGTCATAAATCTCTACCAGCCTCTTCATTAAATACGTATTCAAAATTGGTATAAAATGCATAGACTTAGTCAATTTATCAACAATTATCCAAATTTTGTCAAACTTCCTCAAAGTATGTGGTAAGCCTACCACGAAAGCCATAGTGATATGCTCTTACTTCAACTGTGGTATAACCATCTTCTGAGTCAAATCACCTGATTTCTGATGCTCATACTTGACCTGTTTATAGTTTAAACACCGTGAAACATAGCCAACAACGTCCTTCTTCATCCCGCATCACCAATTATCGGGATTCAAATCACAATACATCTTTGTAACACCTGGATGAATAGAATACCGTGAACCTTGAGCCTCCTCAAGTTTGAAATCCCCTAAGCCATCAACATTGGGCATACAAAGTCCACCCTAAAGTTGCATAACACCATCATCACCTATGACAACTTTCTTGGTACCACTTTGCTACACAGTATCCTTAAGTACAAGCAGATGAGGATCATCATACGAGCGAGTCTTAGTCTGCTCAAACAAAGATGACTGGGAAACAACACTAGCAAGTACCTTGCGAGGCTCAGAAACATCAAATCTCACAAATATGTTGGCCAAGGGCGCCTGAACATCCATAGCCACAGGACGCTCCTCAAATAGAATGTATGCCAGACTACCCATACTCTCCTCCTTTCTACACAAAGAATCCACTACAATATTAGCTTTCCCAGGAGGATACAAGTAGTGATATCAGAATCCTTAATCAACTCAAGCCACCTCTACTGCCTAAAATCCAAGTACTTCTGCTTGAAAGGTGTGGAAGAAAATGGTGATTAACGTAAATTTTACTGGATACCTTACAAGCAATGCCTCAAAATATTTAATGCAAACACAATCGCCGCCAACTCCAAATCAAGGTAGGAGAATTTTTCTCATGAATGTTCAGCTGTCGTGATGCATGGGCAATTACCCTACAATCCTACACAATACACTCGTAAAACCAATGGGTGAAGCATCACAATACACCATATATAATCCTGAACCCGTGGGTAACACCAACACTGGAGTTGTAGTCAATTTGGTCTTGATCTTCTAATAGCTCACCTCATATTCATCAAACCATCTAAGAGAAAGACCTTTATGAGCTAACTTAGTCATTGGGGATGCAATTGATGAAAATCTCTCTGCAAAGCAACGGTAGTAACCTACCAAACATAAGAAATTCCGAATCTCCGTAATATAAGTAGGTCTAGGAATTTTCTAAACCACCTCAATCTTCTTAGGAACAACCTTGATAACTCTACCGGACACCACACGACCTAAGAAGGCAACTAAATCCAACCAAAACTCGCACTTGGAGAACTTAGCATAAATCTTCCATTCCCTCAAAGTCTGAAGCACAATCCTTAAATATTGGTCATGCTCTTCTTTAATACGAAAGTAAACCAAGATATCATCAATGAACACTATAACAAAAGAATTTAAATAATGCTTGAATACCTGATTCATCAAATTCATAAATGTCATTGGAGCATTAGTCAAGCCAGATAATATCACCAAGAACTCATAATGACCATAATGAGTCCTAAGAATTGTGTTGGAGATATCCGGCGCTCTAATTCTCACCTGATGATAACTCGATCTCAATGTTAGAGAATACCTTAGCACCTTGAAGTTGATCAAACAAATCATCAATACGAGGCAATGCTTACTTGTTCTTGATAGTAACCCTATTCAACTACTGATAGTCTATACACTTCCTCATAGTACCATCATTTTTCTTAACAAAACATACCAGTGCACTCCAAGGAAAAACACTTGGTCTAATAACTTTTTACTCAACAAATATTGTAATTTCTCCTTTGATTCCTTCAAGTTAGCTGGAGCAATATAATATGGTGAAATAGATATAAGTTGCGCATCGAGTACCAAATCAATGCCAAATTCATCATTCCTATCAGGTGGAATACCTGAAAAATCTATAGAAAACACATTCGTGAACTCCCTTACAACTACTACCTCTGCACTAGTATCCCAAATGAAAGTTAGATGGGCCAAACATACCTTATCAACCATACGTTGTGCCTTCAAGAATGAAACCACCTTATTCATGGAGTGACTAAGTTTCCCTTCTCCACTCCAACCTAAGAAATTGCAGTATAGCCAATATAACAATCTTAGCACAAAAATCCAATATAGCATAATATGGAGATAACTAATCTATACTAATAATCACCTCCAAGTCCACCGTATCCAATAGCAAGTGAGCAACTAACATGTCTTGCCCATCGATAGTGATCACACAAGAGCGATAAACCCAATCTATAATAATATAATCCTCAGTAGTCATAGACATATAAACAAGAATATCAAGAGAACCACGATGCATACCTAAATATGATGCAAAATATGATGACACATAAGAATAAGTACAAATAGGATAAAATAATACCAAAGCATCCCTACGACAAACTAAGACAATACATGTGATTATCAGCATCAGATGCAACCGCCTCTAGCCTACCAGAAAAATCATAGCAATGAGCATGTCCATCACCTAACAGACCTCCATATCTAGAACGAGCCCTACTAGGCTGAGTACCACCCATAGCTGCTAGGTGATGCTGTAGTAACTGGAGTTGGAATCATAGCCTTAGTTCCCTGCTGACTGTGACTGGTACATCTTTGGCGTCGAGGACAATTCTCCCTAATGTGCCCCAAATTTCCACACTAAAAAGAGCCCCTAAGAGAACCTTCATGTTACTGGGACTATCCTATATGTGCACTATAAGAACCATGAATTGGAGGTACACTGAAATATGACTACCCTGTAGGAGCACCATGAGAAAATTAAAGTGTTGACTAAACTATCTTTCCATGATGGCCACTACCATAATATTCCTTGCCATCAAACAAGGCACCACTGAAACCACCTGAGCCACGAGGCTTTTTAGCCTCAGAAGCATATGTACCGTGACCACAGACATGCCCAATCCTTTGTTCTATATCTATTTGTGCTATCCAGATCTTAATACCAAAGTTAAGCCCCTCAATAAACCTCTTAATTTTCTCCTTCTTGGTGGGAATCAATAAAACAACATAATGAGACAACTCAAACAAACTTTTCCTAATACTCAATGGCAGTCATGCCCTCTTAACATAAATGCTTAAACAGACCATGCAACACGCCCCTCTTGGTGAGCCGTTTGAACATCTCTAGCTATGAAATCTAAGTCCAAGTGAGAGTTAGTGATCCTGTTGTCCTGCCCTGCTCATATGTCTGCCTTCATCTCTTAGATGGTCCCCTAATTTGGAAAGTAGTAAAGTCAACTCCATTAGACACAATAAGGCCTAAACTATTTAAAAGCACATGGACTTTATCTAAGAAGTCATGGGCATTAACTGCTGGATCACCATCAAAATAGGGAGCAAACAATTATGGAACATATCCATCATTTTCTTCTCTGAGAAGTAGCAGGAACTATAGGATGTATTCCTGCATGCGCCATACTCTCAAAGAAACCCATATTACAAACTAATGTTAGTAACCCGCCAAACCTAAGAAGCTCCGAATCTTTGTAGCTGAAGTAGTTCTAGGCTAGTTTTGAAACTGCCTCTATCTGCTTAGGATCCACCTTGATACCCTCAGAATACACCACGTGACACAAAAAGGTAACTGAGTCTAACTAGAACTCACACTTTAAAAACTTGGCATATAGCTGACGATCCTTCAAAGTCTAAAGTATAATCCGTAGGTGCTGCTCATTCTCCTCTCTACTACGAGAGTAAATCGGAAAATCATCAATGAAGACAACCACGAAGGAAGCCAGATACTTGAACACCCAGCTCATTAAGTTCATGAAGGCTACTGGATAATTAGTCAAGCTAAATGACATCACTAAGAGTATGTAATGACCATATCGATTTCTAAAAGATGACTTAGGGACATTTAATGACCTAATCTTCACTTGATGGTCGCTATATCTCAACTCAATCTTGGAAAACACCTTGGCACCCTGAAACTGGTCAAATAAATTATTGATCCTAGGCAACAAATACTTGTTCTTAATAGTGAACTTGCTCAAGTGCCGGTAGTCAATGCACATCCTCATCGATCTGCCCTTCTTCTTAACAAACAACACTGACGCACTCCAAGGTGAAACACTACGTCTAATGACTCCATTATTAAGCAAATCATATGACTAATCTTTCAATTCTTTCAACTCAGCTGGAGCCATACGGTACAGAAGAATAGAAATAGACTGAGTGCCTAGAAGATAATCAATGCAAATGTCAATATCCCTGTCGGGTGGCAAATCCTACAAATCTGTAGGAAACACCTCAGGAAACTCACTCACAATCAGTACCAAATCTATAGAAGGAACCTCTGTACTAAAATCTCGAATATAAGCCAAATACGCCAAACACCCCTTCTTGGCCATATGTTGATCCTTCAAATATGAAACCACCTTATTAGTGGAGTGATCGAGGGTCCCTCTCCACTCTAATCTAGGCAACCCCGACATGGCTAAAGTCATGGTCTTGTCATGACAATACAAGATAGCATGATACGAGGACAACTAATCCATACCAA